GAGAGAGAGAGAGAGAGAGAGAGAGAGAGAGAGAGAGAGAGAGAGAGAGAGAGAGAGAGAGAGAGAGAGAGAGAGAGAGAGAGAGGGAGAGAGAGAGAGAGAGAGAGAGAGAGACAGAGGGAGAGAGGGAGAGAGAGAAAGAGACAGAGGGAGAGAGAGAGAGACAGAGGGAGAGAGGGAGAGAGAGAAAGAGACAGAGGGAGAGAGAGAGAGAGAGAGAGAGAGAGAGAGAGAGAGGGAGAGAGAGAGGGAGAGAGAGGTTCAGCATCCGATTTTTCTTTAATTAAAAATAAATAATTAGCCAAACGGGTGATATAAATTCACTTTGTGTTATCTTTTATTGTCTTTTCAGTTGGACTTTTATTTTATTACACTTGCTTATTTGAGGTGGAGAAACAATCAAGGACGTGAAATCAACTATAAAAGATATGATGTTCTATAAGATAACACAGTGATGTTCAAAGTTCAAAGTTTGCTTTATTGTCAATTCCACAATGTACTGGACATACAAGGGAGTTGAAAAGACGTTTCTCTCTAGTCCAACATATAAACATATAAAGTGAATACAGTGCAATAGATTAAAAAAACATTGAGACAATATATATATAATAAGAGAGAAAAAACAAAAACCTATCAATCTGTATTTAGCAGCAGTGGGGCATGGGGAGTGTTAAAGAGAGGAGGGAGAGAGTTTGGACGAAGCTGTTTGAGAGTCTGGGGGTGCGAGCGCGGAGGCTCCGGTATCTTCTCCATGAGACTGATACCCTCTCATTGAGCCCCTCGCCTTCAGTGTTGTGTCGGCTCAGGGTCTCGTTCAGTTGAACCTGAGCGTGTGAAGATGTTTCATGCTGGTTCATCTTGGGAAGACTGTCCCACCATTCCACCACAGGCGTGGCTGGCAATTCTTCTCCCATCAAAACTCTGCAGAGATTCATGAATACGTTATGTGGAAATTATTATTTTCAGAACAAGCTTTGATATTGTGGTGTGGTTCCTAAATAAGCCACAAGATGGAAGCACAAAACAAGAGACTCATCACTGCAGAACAAGCCGAGGCTTTAATCACTGAGGATGGATGTTTAAAACGGGATTATTATCCTCATTTCCTCATTTCCTCGCTCCTCAACAACTTCCGGTTTAAGCGAGGATCACTTCCTGCAGTGCTCGCGCTGGCGCTGCGCGTACTCGCCTGGCTAAATTGTATGTCACACATTGATATCTTTAACCAGCAATTGGCTAAACTGCTTCATAGCCCCGCCTCTTTGGGGCAGTTTCTCCAGCGCAATATACAATTTGTATAGTTTATTATTATTATTATTTATTTTATTTTATTTGTTGTGGCTCAAGGTGGAGCGGCGCCCTAGCGCCCTCTATTGACCAGCCGCCACTGCACCAGTAAACTAAAAAGACACACACACCGTTATCTATATATCTATATCAATATATATCTATATATAGATAGAGAGAGAGAGAGAGAGAGAGAGAGGGGGTGTGTGTGTTTGCATGCACAGACAAAGACAGAAAGAGGAGGGAGTATTTGTGCAAAATCAGTTTGCACTTAATTCAATGAAAAGCAATCAAACTGAGCAGAAACTGGTCTATTTATAGCCGTTTATAGCCTCAGAGGTTTTAATCATTCAAAAGTATTGAGTGGTGTCACATTTAACCTCAATTCAGGACACGCGAGTGCAGCAGTCTGACGCTCATTCAATATAATTATATTATAAAATGGATGTTTTGTTCCCATATATAATATTAATAAGGAGTCCAAAGAGCCGTCTCCAACAGACGGGGATTAAGCTTTTTAGTCCGTAATTATTATAAAAGCACACGTCAGCAGATATCCACCCATTTTCAGAGAGACGTCCTGTTGGCCGGCTGAGAGAGAGAGAGACCCAGGAACCAGCAGCAGGAGAACAGGAATATCCTCCTGAGTCAGCGCCACGACGCGGACACACCACGCTCTCCGGTCCCGGCAGCACTGCCTCTCTGTACCGATAATAAGCATCCTATGCTCTTCTGCTCAAGATGGCGGTGCAGGCAGCGGGAAAGGACGGAATAGTGAGTATTTTTGGGAGCTTTTACGCGCGTTACGCGTGTTCGTGTTTATTTCCCCCCGTGCGTGCATGCCGGATTTGATGTATTAGCGCACCGTGGGTGTCTTTTTAATCCGGTGCTTATTTGTAAAGTGCGGAGCGCCGCGCGCAGAGCATTTTTTTTTTTTACATTCGCGAGGCGGCTCGTCTTTCATGTTGAGGGAAATCCAATATGTTGGAGGTGAAATGTATCGGCGGTGTTTGTGTCTGTGTGTGTGTGTGTGTGTGTGCGTGTGTGCGTGTGTGCGCGCTCACATAGGCCGCTCAACCGGGCCATCACAGAGCAGATAAAATGCGTAAAATGTGCAATTTATTGGGGATAATTTAGACTTTCACATGGCACACGACAGAAACGATGACAGGTCTGCTGCCACCTCGTCATTGTTGGGGAAGGGAAGGCCACACACTGAGTGTGTTTATCAATAAACAGGCCTGCAGCCTCGTGCTGTTTCACCTCAAATCAAACCAGTTTAATATCCTAAATCTACCTCATAAATGACAGCGTGCATGCTTTGTTTGTTCTTTTAGTCACCAGTGTTGAAGAACGTGGAGGATGACACCCTGAACGACTCGCTGGGGAACCCCGGCCTCATCTCACCTGACAAGGATTTATCTCGTCTGCTGGTATGAAAGAACTGTCTGCATATACAAGTTGTATTTTGTTTTTGATTCATCGGTAATATATATTCACTTCTTTTTACGCAGACGGTGCCGTTCAGCGGGCGCATCCGGGGCGGCCTGCGGCCAGGAAAGAAGATCCTAGTGATGGGCATTGTCGACCTGGAGCCAGACAGGTAAGATAACACCACTAAACAATGCATGCACGCACTCCTTATCTGGAGAGCCTGTTCACCTCAACATGTTTTAAACACATTTATTTTTCAAAGAGATAAGCTTTTTTTTTTTGTTCTTAGCCAGTGCGTGGGCAGCCATGGTGGCTTCTTAAGTATGCAGAGACAGGGTGTGCCCCAAGAACCAGCAGGGAGGGAAAAGAAAGGGGGTGAAAAGGACCCAGTGGAGCAGACTTGTTTTGGGTGTGTCCTCTGGTCTTCATGGAAACTTGTGTCAAACTTAGATGGAACCTCTCCATGACCTCATCGTGTTGAGAAGCTGCTGCTGGCACCGGTTTTCATGCCAAAGTTCACGTGGCTGAGGGAGAACCGCTCCAGAAACGGCTTCCCTTTGTTGCTTATAGCTGCCCCCCCCAAGTCCTTTAAAACCTCCACATACAGCAAAGAATCCAGTTCAAGATTCTCCTTCACAACCCTGAACCCCTTCATAAATTTCGGACCTCCTGCACCGACGCGCTCCCACCTGCAACCTCAGATCCACCAATGCCCCCCCCACCTACTCTGTCCAAGCATCGGACCTGGGGGGACCTGCCCCCTCCCTCTGGAACTCTCGCCCCCATTACCTCAGACATTCTCCGTCACTCACCACTTTAAAAAACTGCTCTTAAAACTTAAAATGTCATCTCTTTTGTTCATATTGCAATTGCTTATTTTAAAGCACTATACAAATATAATGTATTATAGTTTGGTTAACATGTCTACACACTCACACAAAGAAGGCGAAGCTGCAGGGGGTAAAACCTAAACAATAGCAGCAGCAGCAGGGATTATGCATAATTAACACACAATGTGTTTGCTCTTACGCAGCAGCAGCAGAATTATGTATTTGACTTATCCCAGATTAGTCGCTGGACTCGTATGCTGCCTGTCTGACCTCTTCTTGTTCCACCCTCCCCTCCCTCAGCTTTGACGTGAGCCTGACCTGCGGCAGAGACTCTGAGAAGGAGGGGACTCCTCACGACGTGGCCCTGAAGCTCACCGCCCGCTTCACCGACCGCCAGTTCCTGCGCAGCGCCCGCATCTCTGGGAAGTGGACGGTGGAGGAGGCGTCCACCGACTACTTTCCCTTCATCCCCGATCAGCCTTTTAGGGTAAAGATCCCTTTTTTGTATTCATGTGCAGGTTCTTTTTGCTGGTTTCTTGTTGGAACACGAGTGCTTTTATGAAGATTGTGGGATGCTCTCTTTTAGCTCGAGCATCCTCTGCTCTGCCTCTGTTCTTCCTTGTCATGGCTACAGTGAGGGTTTCTCTTACACAACGGATCTTATTTCCTTTGGATCATTATTTCTTTAATTCCGTGAGCTTGCTCTTACAACAAGAGCAGCCGACGTGATTAGACGATCAGATGAGTTGGCAATAAACCTCCAGTTAAACCGTATTATCTAAACCAGATTAACATGAGATGAGAAGTCTAAAAAGGAAATCTACCCTCAAATGCTTGAAAAGAAAATCTTGTTTGTTGTACGTCCACGTCAGAAGGACAAAGTGTTTTTATGTGGTTGTTTTGAGACCAATTGTGACACATTTAACATTAAAGCAGTGCAAACAAATCAGTCAGCAAAGGACCAAATACGGCGTTAAAACAAAAGCGGTGTGAAGACCCACAATACCATCTTATTGTGAGTTTAAAACATTTTGCGATATGCAGAGTGTAGCAATAATATCTGTTGCGATATATTACCTGCAAATTATGCAGTTTGCCAACATCTGTTTTGTCTAATAAGAAAGTTTTCTTTCTTTAATCATTTTTATTGCAGCACGGTGAGTTTGTCAGTCGAGCAGACGGACTAAAGTGGACTGAAAAAGCAATTTTATTTTATTTGTATGTCCAATATTAATAGTTCAATACTTGGGGTACATGTATCAATACAATATTTCCACGCAAGATATTGCAATACTGTATCGATTCCACTCCTCCGCGACGACTGTATTCCAAGATGGCGATGCCAACATTAACAAATTCAAGGCTTCATAACGTCCACAAACCAATGGATGACATCACGATGACTACGTCCACTTCTTAATACAGCCTGTGGTCTCGAGCTACGCGTCTCGCTGTGATCGAGGCCTTAGAATGCTGAACCGTACGCTGGTTCCAACTTTTGTTCTACAGCATTTATTATGGGACCGATTTTGTTTCTGTAATGATCTCACATAGCTTGTTGGTGGTTTGTTGCTTCCTTGTTGTCAACATTGGTGAAGTGTTTTTGGGTTGTTGAAGTTGTTCTCTTTTTAAAATCCTGTCGAATACTTTACAAGCAATAAGACGGATAGATTGCACGTTGTCTCGCAGTGAAGAACTAAGAGACAAACTGGAACATGTTAAAGCTGCTACATCCCATCTATCTGCTGTAAATACAGGCTGCCTCTCGTCTGTGTGCTGCATCAGGGTCATCAGCTGTTTGTGTGTCGGGGTTGAGCAGCAGCAGCACATGCATGATGAGTAACTCTCATAAGACCTGAGGACGTGTCCGCTCTAATAATTCTGAAAATGCTCATGAATAACTCGTATAGTGTTCGACCTAAAAATATCCGACGTGAACTCACCGACAGCAAAGACACAGCAGTGACCATCTTTGGCTTGTTTTTAGAGTTGATCCCTGTGTCTCGTTATGCAACGTCAGCTCTCTGATAGCGCGTCGTTGTGTTGTGGTGGGAGCGTGGCCGAGCAGGTCGTGACTCTGCAGATTAACGGCTGTCATGCAGATGAGTTCTGTGGCATGTGGACGGACGTGGTTTCACAGCCGGACGGACAATCTGCCTCAGGAAGTGACATCACACCTAGAAGTTTGTTTTCTTTGGTGTTTCTCTCTGTTGCCTGTTTGTTGAGGTTCACAGTGAGCAGCTGCACTAAGAATCACTTTTAGCTTATTTATCAGACAGCGTTTTGGTGGTTTGGTGAAAGTTAAAACACTCTCCCATCTTTGATCCTTAATGTTTCTGAGTAAGTCAAATATACCAGGCTGAACACACATGTGCCGTCCTCTTTGTTTACATTTTTTTATTTTATTTTTTAACGTCGTCGGCCTCTCCTGGTAACCCCGTGTTTAACGTTGCATTGCTATGAATTGTTGGGCAAAGTCTGCAGAAATGTGGACAAAGTGTTCATAAAGGGCTCAAAATGTCTGCGAGAGAGAACCTCAATCACTCGCCGATGTGACAGCGGGACAGAACTAAACCCTCACTGACTTTACGGGAACGCACATCGAAGTCAGAGTGTTGAGATTGAGCCTGAGAGCTCCTCACTCAGCATGTGACACACGTCTCTGCTTGTCCTTTAGTCTCCCCATGATGAGAACACCTGCTCCAGGTGTGTGGGTGTAGCCTCTTGGTAGGAATGTAAACACATTATGCTGCCCTCAACCTGTCGTACTTCATATTTAATGTACAGACTTCTCATCTGATTCTAAGAGAGCAAACAACCCGGAGTGTCTAATTCATTCCTGTATGAATCTGCCTTTATTGCAGTTTGATGCTCCAGTGCTAATGTCATATTGTATTTTTTTTGCAGATTGAGATGCACTGCGAGCACCTGCGGTTCCGGATATTCGTGGACGGACACCAGCTCTTTGACTTTTATCACAAAGTGAAATCTTTCTCCTCCATCGACACAGTACAGATAAAAGGAGATCTACAGATCACCAAGCTCGGTTAACACCGGCCACTCCTCCTGCTCTGCAAGCCGTGTGTGTGAAGCGAGGACATGACCACACACACAAACCTGTGCACCTGTTACATCATCATCCATAACCCATCATGCAACACTGCAGCAGCATAACAACTGGAGAAAAAGGCTCCTGCGGTGACAAGTTAGAGTTCTTCTGCTTCGTTTTCATTCACTTATACTCGCTCCTTTTCTATTTACGATGATGCTTCTGAGAGAATGAATGTTTTTCTCTCTGTAGCCCCAGGTTTTTGTCAGATCAGGGATCTCACAGATTATTAATAGCACATTAATTTTTCATGCTGAATCCTTGAGGGATGCCGAGGGTAGAGGCAGGCGTGGAGTGCTCTCAAGGAAATTATGGAAAGCAGTTACTCAGGAACAAACATCAGACTCTGAGCAGCTAATATGTTGCTTATGGGTGGCAATCTCCCAAATGTGGTGACTGATTAAATGTTTCAATTCTGCAACTCTTCTAAAACCTTTTTAGATTAACTGGAAAATGCATATTAATCAAAAAAATGAGATGCTGGTCATATAAAATATCCAAATCTGGGCCCACAAACATGATTTTCATATCAGATAAAACAGTTTCAAAGTAAAATGTTGCGGGTTGTTTATGCTTTCAGATTAGCTGTATTTATTGTTTCTTTTATCCTCTAAAACTGCAATATTCTGATCCCAATAGAACGCAGTATTACACTCTGTGCTGATGTATCTCCCGACTCCCTCGGCGCTCCCCTGCCCTCCCTTGGGCTTATCCCAACACGCTGCAGTCTCACCGACCCAAATCCCCCCAAAATGAGGATTACATCATGAGTAGATGTCGTACTGTGCTGTGTGTGTGTGTGTGCGTGTGTGTGCGCGTGTGTGCGCGTGTGTGCGCGTGTGTGTGCGTGTGTGTGCGTGTGTGTGTGTGTGACGGTAGTATTAGCAATCACTGACGCCGTTCTCCTGAAGATACAAAGTCCTGTGTGGCTGAACAGGAAGTAGAATTATGTCAGTTTACTCTGGTGGACGAGAGAAGAAACTGCTTTTTAAAAAGAGTTTCATGCAAACCATCTGAATCAAACACTGAACCAATATGCAACTAATTCTTAAAAAGAAACTCTTCAGAACACATTTAAAAGAAACAAGTCAAAGTGTGCAGGTGTAAAACTAAGCCCTTCAGATCCTGGTGGTGTATTGAATGTATAGTATTCATGTTTCTATAGTAGCATAGAAGATATAGTAATGCACAGAATTATTACTTCCTGTCACAGTTTTTTGTTGGTATGGCCGGTGCTGTTTTAGTCTATTTTACAGTCTTGTGTTTGACGGCTTCTGAAAGTGTTTCCTGAATCATTCCACTTTAGTCCTCACTGAGACAGACGGACGCTAAATACAAAGTCAAAGCAGAAGTTTTCTGCAAAGCAAAACTCTCAGTATTAAAAGTATAATGTCTCTGTTTACACCTCTTAGAGTATCAGCATTCACACATCCAGTAGAACAAAAGGTTAGAAGCTCACTGCATATTTAACTTATGGATTTATTAATGAATAATAAATCATTTACTAATGCTTTTTATAGATCCGTTCTAAGCCATTGGTAGGAACAGCTGTTCCCGGTGTGAGAAATCCTTTTGTTTGTTTTATATTTGGTAATAATTCAGTTATAAATGCTGGTAAACATCAGTTCTGCAGTTATACCTGTTGATGACTTTCTCCCCTTTTTAAGTCTTAAACTGTCTGTGTTCCTGCATACAAAAAGACAAAAAGGGGATTTTTCAACCCAGAAGTTGTTTCTATTAATGGCTTGTAATCATATGATCCATAAAACACAAGTTGAATGTTTATTAACCATGAATGAAGTCATTATTTACAACGTATTAGAAGGCTATAGGTTGGAGAAGCTTCGATCATCCGTTAAAGTTCATATCAAACAGCAAAGTGAACGCGTGCTCTTCATGCTGCGTTCGTAGAAGAGTAGCGGACCGTTTCACTGGGCTCTTTTTACACCTCAGTTCAGATCTAAACGAGCTTTCTGCTGCTGTGAATTTGGAGTAAGCCATGACATCTGTGCAGCACAGTTGCACTGACTTCACTGCAGGGCACTCGGCGATCTTTTGCTCACATTGATGAAGCTTCCTTTGTTGTGTGTGTGTGTGTGTGCGCAGCATTCAGCACAACACAGAGGCTTTCCATGCATTTATACATCCATGCACTGAGATTTTATTAGCAATAAAGCCGCTGCTCTGGAGCCGAGCTTGTTTTCTCCCTCAGCTCCTCGTCTGTCGCTCTGAGCGCTGGTTTATTTTGGGACACAAACAGGAAGTGAGTAGAGTTTGGTCTGAGAGGTGCAGTTAAGAAAGTAAAGTGAGCGACGCAGCTTCTAACTCCAGTGTTGCCACAAAGCAAACGTGTACAAATAATATGTAATAATGTGGACCGGCTGTGTTTTCTTTTGTATACTGTTTTTGTGTTTTTTATATTAAATGATGACCATCCATTTGTAAAGCTACCTTTTAATAATGTTAATATACACCATGTAAGAGAGTATGACCATAACTCAGCAGTGTGTTTCATGGACGTGTTAAAGATTAGAGCTGCAACGATTAATCGATTAGTTGTCAACAATTAAATTAACCGCAGACTATTTGGATAATTGGTTTGGGTCATTTTTTAATGGAAAAAAAAATAAATTTGTTTGATTTCAGCTTCTTAAATGCAAATATGTTCTGGTTTCTTTACTCTATGAAAATAAACTGAACGTCTGCGACTTATGTCCCAAAAAGAGGACGTCATCTTGGAATTTGGGAAACACTGATTCACCATTTTCTGACATTTGATAAACCAAACAGCTGATCGATTAATCGAGAAAATAATCGTTAGCTGCAGCCCTGAGTTAAAGTTTTTAGCTCCTCAGCTTGGATTTATGGGGGAAGGAGATGAACAATTCAAGACTGGTGTGTGTGTGTGTGTGTGTGTGTGTGTGTGTGTGTGTGAGAGAGAGAGCTGAGCTAGGAGTGTGTTTTGTTAAACTATCCATCGGCAGACCGTTTTCCTGCTGTGTGTCAGTATTTTTCTGCACAGTTTGTTGCAGCTACATGATGAACTGGATGTGGTACTGCAGTACTTAAGAAAAAGGTGTTGGTGTCCGCTGAAGCGACTCATAACTGCTTAGTGTTTCCTTAAAATCAAAGTTTTCGGTACGTGTGCTTAGAAAACCTGATCTCCTAATGATCCCAAGTCCGTTGAAGATACGTGGAAACAATTCTTGCCTCTAAACTATTATTTGAATTGTTCTTTAACCCTTTAAAACTGAATGTTATTCTCACCCTGATTGTAATCTGATTATAAATAATTACCCAGGTGGAAATACTGTTCATATATAATATATGAAAGCGGCCCCCCCCGTTGCCGTCCTCAGTTAAAAATGGAGGGCGTCAAAGCGTTTGTGACCTGTGTGTTGACCTGCTTCTGGACTTTGGATGTACATTTTTATAAACGAGGCCTCGCAGGCTTCGTTTTTACAACGAGGAATACAAAGCTGAGTTACGAGCATTGAGTTGTGCATGTAAGCTTGTACCTGGCGTTATTCACACCTCATCGACTGAGCTGTTACAATGCCAGTTTTCATTCCAGTCGAGCATGCTCTTTTTATTTTTCTATCCGTGTGTTTTTAAGGGCAGATTTTCCTTTTGACCCGTTTACCTTTTAATAACCTATTTATGAAGATTCTTTGAACACCTAAAGTATCTAAGCTTTTTAACGCCACTTCCTAAAAAGTGCTAAAACCTACATGACATGTTATGAGAACATCGTTGATGTCCTCTGAGTAGAAGTAATGTGTTGTGTGGTTTCTGTTTTTTACGGTGTAATAACCAGCAGGGTTGTGTGTGTGGTGACGTCATGCCTACTGTATTTGGTAACATACTATTTTATGCTGTTTATATGAAGGCATCTTGAAAAAGGGATTTTTTTTTATGATGAAAGTAACTGAGGTCAAATATTACATATTGAACAAAGATTCCTCTCTTTGAATCGTAATTTAACTCATTTTGACTTGTGTTTTTTTGTTTTTTTTTATCTGGGATGTACCAAGTCTGAGGCTCACGATGATGGAAATCCCCCAAAATATCCTGAGCTCACCGTGACTTTGTCTCAACGACGACGTTCACTGGACCGGTGTTTAGTTTGAGACCTCTCCAAATGTTTTGTTCCTCCTCATGCTTTTGTAAAAAAAAAACGGCTACTTTGCAAACCAATAAAAAAAAAAATTTCTTGTGTTCAGTGTCTTTGTCTGAAAATTCACCCAGATAACAAAAAGAACAAGTAGCCACATTCCTGTTAAACTAAGGGGTGTGCACGTTGTTAATCGGGGAATTACTACTACTACTACAAAAACTATAACTACTATACTACTACTACTACCTGTTTACTAATAACAACTGACAGGTTACATAGTGTATATATGGAAGCCCATTTCTGCCAGCCTAAAAAAAAAAAAAAAAGGTAACTAAAATTTTTTTTAAAAGTCCACCCCCCGAAAAAAAAAATATTTTGCTGGCGGAAAAAAAGTAAAAAAAGAGCTGCTGAGACGTGCAGACACGCGGAGAGGACGTGCAGGAAAAGCATATATTTACCGCAGATATCATATTTTACACATATTACTGGGTGATTCCATGTTTCAAAAACACAAATATTGACAATTTGTATAGTTATTATTTATTTTATTGTATTTGTTGTGGCTCAAGGTGGGGCGGCGCCCTAGCGCCCTCTATTGACCAGCCGCCACTGTGCACGTTAATAGGGGAATTACTACTACTACTACAAAAACTACAACTACTACCACTACTACTACGACAAAAACGATAACTACTACTACCTGTTTACTAATATCAACAGCTGACAGGTTACATAGCGAACATCAATTGTTGTAAAGATGAAAAATAAAACGTTTTCCTTTCATACTTTACCCTCCAGGACGACAGGGGGCACTGGTGAAAATGAACCCTGTGCGTCATGACGTTAAACCGGGAGCATTCATTTGACGGTCGGTTCGTTTATGTCGGTCAATTCCGCTGCTTCTTGTCGAATAACTTTAAGTGTATTTCCTCTTTGAACGCGTGTTTGTGAGTCTCGTCCTCCACATTTACCGGTAACGTTATAAGCCGGTTAAAGCTCCGTCATGTCCAGCACGCGGCTGCTCAGACTGCGGGTCAACGAGCGACTGGAAGCGGCCGTGGAGGAGATCTTTGGACTCGTTGAGAAGACGATAGAGGAGTACGAGGAAGGAGCTGTCCGCTCCAAGAGAGAAATCCTCCAGCTGAAGCAGCAGATCGAGCAGCTGACCGTTTTAAAGCCGGAAGTCATGTTAAACCGAGCAGGTACGTGTAACCGTTAGTGGAACGTTAGCCAGTTGCTAGGTCGCGTTAGCCGTCGAGTGTTGAACAACAGCCCACATTGTTCACAACTTTGTGACAAAGATTTTTAGCTATAAGTCATTTGAGGAAACATGACAATTTAAGAACATGAATTTAACTGTGATGGTTGTGGTGGGTTTTTTTCTTCACGTTTTGGCCAGATCAGGCGGTAACATCCGGGTTCTGCCGAGTGAAGCCGATGCGGAAGTGTCTTTAAAACTTGCATTCTCTCTACTGACCAGCAGGGGGCGACTCCTCTGGTTGTATAGAAGTCTATGAGAAAATGACTCTACTTCTCTCTTGATTTATTACCTCAGTAAACATCTTCTTCAATACAGCATGATGTTCATTTAGTAAATTAAGGTCCATTTTGAGTCAAACAGACCATAAAGCAGGGGATGCTTTATGGTCTGTTTGACTCTAAATGTTACACCCATGTTTGTGAACACCATCCACCTGATCAAACAGCATGATTATTACACAAGTCTATGAGAAAGAGATGTGCTGCACTGCATGAGGCAAATGGCGGTCACACCAGATACTGACTGTTTCTGTAGGGTATCTGTGACCAACATTTTTTTATTTATGTAGCCCATGTCATGTGAAATCCTAATTAATGTCTTTTTAAATGTAAAATCACACATTTTATATTGTGGCCAGTCCACCTGAGGAAATAATCATGCTGTTTAATCAGCGTCTTGACGTGCCACACCTGTCAGATGGATGGATTATCTTGGCAAAGGGCTGGTCACTAACCCGGCTGGTGATGGTGGTGTGTTTGTGTTAGATGTCACTGGATTATTTACCAGGTTATAACATGTCTTCCTTGTCCTTTAGACTCCGAGCCGGTCTCTGAGGAACTGGCTCGTTCATTGCAGCTACGTGACATTAAGATGGAAAAGATTCTGGTTCTGGAGGAAACGGAGATCCAGGAGCACCCACAGATCAAAGAGGAGCAGGTGGAGAGGTGCATCAGTCCAGACATGGAGGCTGATACTTCCAACGAGGATGAAGTCGGACATCCTGATTCAGAACCAGATACCAACTGTGAGCTGCTCCCGCCTTCAACGGCTGAGACTGTGAGCGAAGGCATCGACGACGAATGGAACGAGAGAGGTGGTTCTTCCTCGTCCCGTCAGAGTCGCAGCGTCGAGGTCTTTGTGGGACTGGAGCAGCCTCCGAGAGGAGACAAGTCTTGCCGTTTTTGTGGCAAGAATTTTAGGAAGGACTCTTTTCTTATCAGACATGTAGCCAAGAGCCACAAAGGCCACAAAGCCTTTAAATGCCTGGAGTGCAAGAAGGAGTTTGAACAAAGGTACCATGTAATTCAGCATGCGAGGATTCACACCGGTGAAAAGCCCTTCAGCTGTGATTACTGTGACAAAACATTCGCTCAGAACTCGAGTCGTATTGTCCACATGAGGGTCCACACTGGAGAGAAACCATATTTTTGTAATAAATGCAGCAAGAGTTTTGCCATCAGCAGCCACTTGAGGTTTTGCAGAGGGACACAAAACAAAAGCACGAGCGATTTTCACTGCTTAACATGTGGCCGATATTTCCAGACGGATTCGAGCCTGAAGGTGCACATGGAGGTCCACGAGTCATGGAAACGGCACATGAGTGAGAAACTGCAAGGACCGGAGTTAGAAGAGGAAAACCCTTAAAGATGTGAGAGAAACGTCAGAATGAGACACAAATGTTCATAAAATGTACAATCATGTATTCTACCAGTTTTTGTTTCAGCTACAATCTCTCATGAAAGCAATGTATTTGTTAATTAGTTGAAATGTAGCTGAATAAGTTATTGAGTTATTAATTTCTGGGCTGTCAGTTTTGATTTGAGCAATTAATTATGAGCAAATTGCTATTTTATGTGCTGTTTGTGGTTAAGAAATAAATCAAATGACCTACAGCTCCACTCATTCCATCCTCAGATGTTTGACTGAACCACAGACAGGAAGTCATTTTCAAATACAGGATGAGAACATACAGGATATTCTAAAAATCACCATGATCTGTGATAATCACATTTTCATAATGAAAACTTACTTATAAATGATGAAATATAATTTGTAAAATACAAATAAAAGCATGTAAACAGAAAAATGGATTTAGTTTGGAAAAATGGGTATAAACTCAAATAGAAGATCCCAACTTAAAGGTACAACAAGTAAGATTTGTTGATTACGGTTTGTAAACAACATTAAAGTTGGCCCATCTGCTTTCCGCTATGCCTCGCCATTTTTGAGGGTTTTTTCGGCGCTGTGTTCGCCATTTTCGTAGCTTCGTCTTGGATGCATATTTACAACATGAAAGCTAGGTCTCTGTGTTTTTATAGAAGTTGACGCCAAGAAACATACAGAGCATGATGAAATAAGACAATACAGACACAACCAAGTCTGTACTTTGTTTTGTTTTTAGGAAGCACAGTGCATTGTGCCTTATTAAAGGCACCAATAAAGCCAGAACATAAAGCATTTCATTTGATGTAAAATGAGGAATTTGAAATGATTGACTGCATTGCTGATGCAATTAAATCTGCTTTTAAGAGATACTAGTAGGGTTTCATTGTCATAGCTTAAGATCACTCTTCACCATCACTTAAAGGTGTCTTGCTGTGGAGAGAATCTCACCAATCATACACCAACATCATCACACGCAGACTGTTACAGTGATGGAAACGTGGAAACATTGTGGAGCACAATGTAGAAAATGACACTAGCAACAACGCAGGAACACGTAAAATGAGATCATGATCTCAACACACCTACACACCTACTCATTTATTTCAAAATAAGAGTGCACTGCCCAAGTTCATTTCATCCAGGATTTAAAAATCAACCCTCAAACTGCTTTAAGGTGTTTCTCAGGGTTTGTCCATAAAAAATCATGTTAAGAAGGAAAATAAAAACGTACAATGTTATTTCATAATTTTTCTTTTTCAAAATAAAGGTTATACCAATCAATTTTTGTTTGCCTTGGAAATTCACCCTGTGTGTCATGACGTTAAACCCGAAGTACTAACGTTCAGTTAGCTTCATTTTTATTTTATTTTATTTTTTTATCCAACAATTGCACAATGTACAATTTCACAAATTGTCAGTAGACATTTAAACTAACATCGTTCGGTTAGTTCACGTTACTGAAAATTCACCCGTTGCGTCATGACGTTCAACCGGAAGTACTAACGTTCGGTTCGCTTATGTTGCTGAACTAAGCGGGCAGTTTAACCGGCAGTCAAAGAGTCTCGTCCTCGACATTTACCGGTAACGTTATAAGCCGGTTAAAGCTCCGTGATGTCCTGCACGCGGCTGCTCAGACTGCGGGTCAACGAGCGACTGGAAGCGGCCGTGGAGGAGATCTTTGGACTCGTTGAGAAGACGATAGAGGAGTACGAGGAAGGAGCTGTCCGCTCCAAGAGAGAAATCCTCCAGCTGAAGGAGCAGATCGAGCAGCTGACCGTTTTAAAACCCGAAGTCGTTTTACTCCGAGCAGGTAACGTGTAACCGTTAAAGCAACGTTAGCCGGTTACACACAGAAAATGTATTGACAATTTTTAATTATATTCACAAGAAAATACAAAGTTAATCACACACTATATAAACACTTTCTATGCACACAAAAGACCAATTTGTCTCAAAATGTCTGCTTTTAAAATTGATTATGATGTGTGTTTGTGACCACTTGCGCCATCGCTACAGGTGTGGCATATCAGGGTGATTATTGCACAGGTGTGCTGGGGCTCGTCACAATAAAAGGCCACTTTAAAACTGTGTCGTACTATCTTGGGGTGACCTTCTTTAGGGTTCCACATGACTGGGGCTACAGAAAACACTTTTTTTTTTGTGCTCACTAAGAAGATTTTGAACATTTTTGTGCAAAGAAAAAAGTCTTGGCTCTCTTTTAGTGAAGAAATAAGAAGCAAAAACAATAGTGTTTATATTTCTTGTTCAGAGTAGTTAACCAGAACTTGGCATGGTTGCATTCTTTATAGGTGCATTGTGTTAATACCTGGCCACCTGCTCCAAAGAAACGTCCGTACTCGATCTAAATTTACAGTCATCAGTTGTAGAACAATACAAGTATATAACTGGCTTATTTAACATCCTCTCTGTCCTTTAGACACCCAGCTGGTCTCAAAGAAACGGCCTCCTTCGTTGCAGCAATATGAAATTAAGGTGGAAGAGATTCCCGTTCTGGATGAAATGAAGATCCAGGAGCACGTACGGGTCAAAGAGGAGCCGGTGGAGAAGTGCACGAGTCCAGACATGGAGGCTGATACTTCCAACAATGTGGAAGTCAAGAAAGAAATCAACCATCTGAAGCAGCACATCGAGCTGCTGGCCGTTTTAAAAGCTGAAGTAACAGCATTCAAAACAGGTTTGTGTCATTTATGATGAATGAATGAAGGAAAAGGCCACAGATACAGGAGCTAGAAGTGTTAGTTCGTAGGAGATATTTAGCATTCTAAGACACCTAAAGGATATGTTTAGATTGGTGGAAAATGCATAAATATACTTAATGCATGAATAATTATAATCCAGTAAAATAAAAGACTTTTGGTACTTTAACGTGTTCACTTTATCTGTTGTAGATGGTAACGGTGGACCTCATTTTAATTACGTTATGTACTGACGGTTTAACCTGCAAAGTAACTAAAGCTGTCAAATTCATGCAATGGAGTAAAAAGTACAATGTAAAGTAACATAAAATAGGAATCCTCAAGTACCTGAAAATTGTACTGAAGTAAATGTACTTGGTAACGTTCCACCACTGATCAGCTGGTATCGTACCACCAAACTTCATGTGACAACCTCACATCATTGAAAACATCTGACTGAAACACACCTTACTTGCACATGTACAAATATATTTGTGTAAGATATCACAAGTTATTTAACAGATTATAACGTGTGTCTTCTGCTTGTTTTTTAGACACAGAGGAGATTTTTCCTTCACAGCAGCCAGACTGTCTTAACAATGTGGAGGAAATCAAGACCCAGATCAAAGAGGAGCAGGTGGAGAGGTGCATCAGTCCAGACACGGAGGCTGATACTTCCAACGAGGATGGAGTCGGACATCCTGACTCAGAACCAGACACTAACTATGAGCTGTTCCCGCCTTCCACGGCTGAGACTGTGAGCGTGAACGAAAGAGATGGTACATTTTCGGCCCGTCGGAGTCGCAGAGTCCAAGTCTTTGTGGGACTGGAGCAGCCTGGGAGGGAAGACAAGTCTTGCCGTTTTTGTGGTGCAAGTTTTGTGAAGGACTCTTTTCTTATCAGACACGTAGCCAAGAGTCACAAAGGACACAAAGCCTTCAAATGCCTGGAGTGCAAGAAGGAGTTTGAACAAAGGTACGTTCTAGTTCAGCATGCGAGGGTTCACACGGGGGAGAAGCCCTTCACGTGTGATTTCTGTGACAAAACATTCACTCAGAACTGCAATCGTCTCGCTCACATGAGACGGCACACCGGAGAGGAACCGTATCTTTGTAGGAAATGTGGAAAGAGATTTCCCAGTCACAGTCATTTATTGTTGTGCGTAGGAACACAAAGGAAAGGCAACGCACAACACGTGGCAGAGCTGTGGAGCTGAAGCTGAGGGAGAGAAACATGCATCCCAGGATTTAGGAATGTTTCAGCTACAGTCTCTCACAAAAGAAATGCGTTTTTTCAATTTTGTAGATTTTTATTTTTGCTGGATAAGAAACTATATTCATCAGTTGAAATATTGGACTGTTTCAGTTATGATTTTTACTGTTTCATCTGGAGTGTTTTTGTTTTTTTCATATTTGGAGAAGCAAATAAACTGTTTGGCTTTAACATCGTTGTAGTTGCAGATGATTGAGTTTGTCTTCAGAAGTTAGATGTGAATGTAATGTGTGTTTATCTCACTAAAAGCAAAGAGATTATTAAAATCCTTTCGGTTTATTTCTTTGTTGCTACTTAAGTATAATTGTAGTGTTTTATATAACGAGATCAAACCACTTCAAAGTTGTTGGAAGTTATTTTCAGTTTGTTATTTAGACAAACCATAAATTAAATAAGTGTAGCCGAGGGTTATAATAGTAATAAAATAATAAACACGGGGCTCCGTAGTCTGCACCAAGGTGGCAGCAACTTTATTCTCCTTTTAACTACTCAACAGAAATGTAACTCAACTGAACAGCTGACGTACCTCCCCTCCTCCATAAAGAAACATCCCCGTTTCCAAACATTCTAAATGCAAGAAACACATTTTCCAACCCCAGTAACATGTCTTCATAACACAAGATTGAACAGTAAATATTATACATCCTCCAGAAAATATGCCCCACTAATCCCAATAGACACCAGACACAGCTGATACCCCAGAGTGTTTGGACACACCGTGCATATAAAGATGTTAATGGACATATTCACACTTATCACTCACAAATCAGTTAGCGATGTGTGACAAAGTCCTTTAAATATGCTGGTTGTCTCACAACTCTTTGAACGAGACAGTCTGTTGTGGTTCACTGGTGCCCGTAACCAAACCAGTCCCAGTGACCCGTGGCTCCTCCACCCCACAGTCCTCCTCTGGTGACCCCTCATCCTGCAGCGAAGGAGCTTGGTGGTGAGGAGCTGGGAGGCTACTTGAAGAACCAGCAGGCCGTAGCAATCCGTCGATCATAATAAACAACCTGCTCCGGTGCGTGGAGGACCAGAGGACTAACAATGCCACAGATGAGTCCCGGTTCCCCTCGAGTCAGTTGTATCAGATGTCGTAATCACAAGGCCAGGCCAAAGGAGAGTCTGAAGGCCATCTCTACAGGAACCTCTGCCACCGAGTCATGGAAACACACGTAGAACTCCTGAGGGATGGGCTCGAGCAACATCCGTCCTATAACCCAGTAAGTCATGGTGGGAGCAGGCTTCCTCTGGTCGGTCCAGTTCTCCGGTTTACACTGAAACAGGACCCCGTGTTCCTTCACGGGACCCAGACCCCAACCGCCGCCCTGAGGCCGGTCTACAGCCTGACGGTCCCTGGCCGGCAGGCTCTGCTGGAATGCGGCCCGTATGGAGAGGCAGCAGTGGTGGAAGTTGCGGATGAGCTGTGGGTGGATGGAGCCGCTGAGCTGAGCCACCTCTCTGTGAGTCGGAGCGATGAAGATCCCCTGAACTGTTTCCATCAAGACATAGTGGAACAAGGTGTTCTCTGCACCTGAAGTCAGTTTCATGGTGTTGTACATCTCTTCTGTCTCCCTTTCAGTCAGGGTCTTCTTCAGGGTGCCTAGGTAGAATGGGTTTGGGTGCTTCATTCTGGGAATCTTGAAGAGACCTCCACTCCCATGAGACCCTCCAGATCCCAGCGAGTCTCGACGCCCCCCCAGCTTCCTCCCTGAGTCTGGGGTGGAATGTGGACTGAGGCCTGGAGCCATTGATGAAACAGACCCTGACCCAGCATCCATCTGTCCCTCACTCCCACTGTCAGACAGGCTCCTCTGGGGGCTGGACCTCCGGGCCTTCTCCCCAAACAGGCTATGGCCTCTGGACCCGGAGGCGGAGCCTTTGACAGCCACTGCTAGCTTGCTGAAGACGGGGGAGGAAGAGGCCAGGCTGTCCAGGCGGTCGCGGGCTGTGGCAGCAGGGAGGAACCAGTCAGCACAGGACAGGCAAGGAGCAGGTGGAGCATTGAGACGCTCCTCAATACCTGCTTCCAACACCTCCAGTTGCAGCAGGGCAGCCTTCACCTGATCTACGTAAACACAATCGGGTCCTGTAGAGCCCAAAGCTGGAGAAGCACAGCCACCTGCCTCCAACAGCACACACTGCATGAAGTGCCTCAATCCCACTATGAGGAGGAAGTGACGTCCTTGAGGCTGGCTGTAGCCCGGCACTGTGCTGCTGCTGTTAGCGCTCTGTTGGGGAAACACCTCCCTCCAGATGACCAGCTGACCCACCCGCGGCTCAGACGCCAGCAGGCAGTAGTGCTGGCAGTACAGGCTCACATCCAGCAGCTCCTCTTTAGGCAGGTGGTTGGCAATCAGGTAGGACTTGTAGAACAAACAGGAGCCAAGAATTACATACAGACGCCTCAGGCCACAAAAGTCCTCGGACATTTCTCCAAAATCAGAAGACTCAAAATCAGAGAGAACAGTATCCACCTCCATCTTGATTTCCGGAGGCAGCGTCAGCCATCGGACCGCCGGCAGTCCGTCAAGAAAAAGGGTCCCTGAGACATTGGGGGTCGGCGCTGAGGAGCCATCCCTCAAGCGAGACGGCTGGATGAGCTGCTGGAAGAACAGGCAGAAGAAGTGGTCCAACCTGGGTGCATGGTCCACTTTACAGAACGCATTGTCTAAGGAGCCGTACATGACCTTTAGAGTCCGGACTACGTCTCCCACCACCGTCTGCAAATACAACAGTGGAACCCTCTCAGCAGGAAGACCGATGACCAACAGGTTGCTGCTTTCCTTCCAGTAGCCCACATGAACCAGCTGTTTCCCAAGCAGGAGAGAAGAACTGAGTATTGGCCCTCCTGTGACATTCTCCAGCATGTCACACAAAGTAAGGAAGATGCCCCTCACTCCTTTCAGCTGGCCGGAGGCCTCAGACACGGGGTACTGGTACAAGATCTCCTCCTCTTCCTGCGGTGACGCGGAGTCCAGTTTAAGTGAGAGGTACATGACAACGTGTGGGATGTGTCCCATGGACATCTGAAGTTCGGCTGTGTCCTCTCCCCCCAGCAGAGCTTCCAGCAGGCCTCCGCTGTCAGACAGAGGTGTTGAGGAACCTGCAAGATACAACACACTTGAACACTGCTTCCTAGAGAGCTCTTATTGTAACTCAACATCACAGCTTACATGTGTAGCCGAGGGTTATGTTGCACTTATACTTTATAATAGTAATAAAATAATAAACACGGGGCTCCGTAGTCTGCACCAAGGTGGCAGCAACTTTATAGTCTTCTCACACACTTCACTAGAACCTTTTTCCTCTCTTCCTTCTTCCGTTTCATCCTTCACAATAAAAGCACCAGACATATACACTGGAACACTGTTTCCTAGAGAGCTCTTAACGTAACTCAACACAATTGGTTACATAAGTATCAACCTTTATACAGAAACCAAGCAGCATTCTCATTGTAGTAAGAAACGTCATTTTTGTTTTGCACATTATCAGAAAAACGGAGCCATCCTGACCGGAAGTGGGCACTGGTGAAAATGAGCCCTGTGCGTCATGACGTAGAGCCCGGAAGTGTTAACTAACGTAAAAAAAAGTGCCATGCATAGACCAACGGTTGCCGCCAAAGAGTGTTATGGCTTAGTTACGACTTTCAGTTCCGTAGGAGATTTCTATTTTTTTAAAGAGTGTGTGTATGTCTCGTCCTCCACATTTACCGGTAACGTTATAAGCCGGTTAAAGCTCCGTGATGTCCTGCACGCGGCTGCTCAGACTGCGGGTCAACGAGCGACTGGAAGCGGCCGTGGAGGAGATCTTTGGACTCGTTGAGAAGACGATAGAGGAGTACGAGGAAGGAGCTGTCCGCTCCAAGAGAGAAATCCTCCAGCTGAAGGAGCAGATCGAGCAGCTGACCGTTTTAAAGCCGGAAGTAATTTTAAACAAAGCAGGTAACGTGTAATCGTTAAAGGAACGTTAGCCAGTTGCTATATATATATATATTGCTATATATTATATATATATATATTGCTATATATTATATATAATATATAATATATATTATATATTATATATATATATATAATATAAATTGATATAAACTAAACACAGAACATATGTGGAGAAATTGTAAAGACAATAGAATATACGGAAAATTGAAAAACAACTTTTTCAAATAAAAGCACTAAAAGACGAAATTAAAGGAAACTAAATAGAACTTCCGTGTCCGTCGTGTTATATTGTGGATGACGTCACGACTACCACGCCCACTTATTATAAATACAGGGGGCTAAGCACACAGCCCTGCGGGGTTCCGGCTATGATTTTTATTGTTATTACATTAATGTTTAGATATTACTGGATTATTTAAACAGGTTATATATAACATGTGTCCTCTCTGTCCTTTTAGATAACCAGCCAGTCTTTGAGGGACTGCCTCCGTCATTGCAGCAATATGGGATTATGGTGGAAGAGGTTCCCGTTCTGGACGAAGCAAAGATCCAGCAGCCCCCACTGGTCAAAGAGGAGCCGGTGGACGTGTGCATCTCAAAAGGCACGGAGGTTGTCAATAATGCTGCAATCAAGAGAGAAATGAACCGTCTGAAACAGCTCATCAAGCCGCTGGCCATTTTAAAAGCTGCAGAAACACCATTCAGAGCAGGTTTGTGTCATGTATGATGAACAAATTACTTCATTAATTATTAGGCCACAAATTGCTGCAGGTTCAGGTTGTGTTAGCTGTTCATATTACTAAACAAAGGAGCTAGAATTCATAGTAATCATCCTACGATTCACCAAAAGGTATTTTGGTTCCTCCTCAGATTAACACCGTTATCTAGCTGCCTGCTACACCGTCGCCATTTTGAGAGGCAAAGTATATCTTCTGAATCTCACATGTAGTTCCTTAAAGTAGCAATACAACAGTATTAAAATGCATGTTACAAGTAAAAGTCATGCATTGAAAGTCTTAAAAGTATTGGCGTCAAATTATACTGAAAGTACCAAAGTGAAAAGTACTCATAATGCAAAATGGTCCATTTCAGAATAATGTATATTACTGTATATTTAGTTATGCATTAATTTATTAACACCAATGAAACTGTGATGGCTTTAAAAACAAAGTTGATCCTCAACCTTCAGCTCATTGAAAACATCTGACTGAAACACACCTTACTTGCACATGTACAAATATATTTGTGTAAGATATCACAAGTTATTTAACAGATTATAACGTGTGTCTTCTGTTTGTTTTTTAGACACAGAGGAGATTTTTCCTTCACAGCAGCCAGACTGTCTTAACAATGTGGAGGAAATCAAGACCCAGATCAAAGAGGAGCCGGTGGAGAGGTGCATCAGTCCAGACATGGAGGCTGATACTTCCAACGAGGATGAAGTCGGACATCCTGATTCAGAACCAGACACTAACTATGAGCTGCTCCCGCCTTCCATCGACGTCGAATGGAACGCAATAGATGGTTCATTGTCGGCTCGTCAGAGTCGGAGCGCTGCTCTGGAGCAGCCTGGGAGGGACGACAAGTCTTGCCGTTTCTGCGGTAACCATTTTAGGAAGGACTCTTTTCTTATCAAACACGTAGCCATGAGTCACAAAGGACACAGAGCCTTTAAATGCCTGCAGTGCAACAAGGAGTTTGAACAAAGGTACCGGATGGTCATACACACAAGGATTCACACTGGTGAAAAGCCCTTCAGCTGTGACTACTGTGACAAAACATTCGCTCAGAACTCAGGTCGTAATGTCCACATGAAGCACCATACTGGAGAGAAACCAAGCGATCATTCAAAATACGGCAAAATGCAGAACGAGTGCAAAATCAAACCAGAAAAGAGGAACGTAGACGAGTTTTTAAAGTGCTTTGAATGCAACAAGGAATTCAGACACAAGCAGCAGCTCGTTCGGCATATGAGAACTCACACGGGCGAAAAAACCTTCAGCTGCGACTTCTGCGGCAAAGCTTTCTCTCAGGACTGTAATCGAATCTCTCACATGAGGCAGCACACGGGAGAGAAGCCGTATTTCTGTAAGAATTGCGGGAAATTCTTTTCCCGAAACAGGCACATCAACTGTTGCACAGCCACGCCGCAGCTCAGGAACAGGGACGAGGTTCCCAAAAGAGGGAAGGCCTTCAAATGCTTCGTGTGCAACCAGGCGTTCAAACGAAAGCACCTGCTCATCCAACACGCCAGAGTTCACACCGGAGAAAAGCCCTTTGCTTGCGACTTCTGCGGCAAAAGATTCACTCGGAGTGCGACGTGTATTATTCACATGAGGGAGCACGCCGGAGAGAAACCGTATCCTTGTGAGAAATGTGGGAACGGGTTCACCAGCGGAAGTAGCCGGGTCCGGCACGCCAAGTGCTGCACAGGGACGCAAGACAACAACAGCACCAACAACCTCGCTGCACAACTTGTCGAACATTTCACACAGAAACTGCAAGTACAGCAGTTAAAAGAGGAAAAAACGTCAGAATGAGACCAAATATTTGATCTAAAATGGGCAAATCAGTGTCTAGGAATGACCTGTTTGAACTAAAATCTTCTCTCTTTTAGCCAAGTAAGAAACTATATTCACCAGTTTTTGAGGAAACAATTAAAATGTTGGATTGTGTCATTTATGATTTGACTGCTTCATCTGGAGTCATTTCTTTCTTTTCTTTTATTTATGGTGGAGAAGCAAATAAACTTGTTTGGCTTTAACATCACTGCAGTTACACATGACAGGTGGTGTCTTCAGAGGTTAGATGTGAATTAAATTTCTTTGATTATCAACATCCTTCAGGTTTATCTGTTCTGTTCTGACCTGGTAGCTACTTAAGTATTATTTGAGTGCTTTTTAAGTTATAACAAGTTCAAGTGTTCAAAATGGGGGAAAAAATGTTCAGTTTGTCCTGAAACGAGCTGTCTTTCCATTGTTCACATTTAAATATTAATTGTTTTGTTGTAAATGAAAATAAAAAAATAAAAGTTGTTTTTTAATACGGTGTCAGTTTTTTGAACAGCAGCCTAAAAACAGAGCCATCCAGGCCGGCAGGGGGCGCTGCTGAGAACTAACCCTGTGCGTCATGACGTTGTACCGGAAGTATTAATGAACTTAAAAAACGACGTACGACTTAAGTTCCCGTGGAGTTTATTTCCTATTAAAGCGTGTCTCGTCCTCCACATTTACCGGTAACGTTATAAGCCGGTTAAAGCTCCGT